CATACTTTCCTGACTGGCAAGCACCAGGAAATGGATGATTTCTCTACAGGAAGGAGCTACGCCTTTCCATTTAGTCTCTCATCATGTGTCATGCTGCTACTGAAGACGTACTCTGGAAATCGAACTGATTTTTCAACTGTTTTCAGAAGGTGGAACCACAGAGACATGATAATGAAAATAAAACTATATGAAGAATCTATTTGGGAGTCAGATTTTCTTCTGAGTTTTCAATTGACTTTTTTTTTTTTTGAGACAGTCTCGCTTTCTTGCCCAGGCTAGAGTGAGTGCCGTGGTGTCAGCCTAGCTCACAGCAACCTCAAACTCCTGGGCTCAAGCGATCCTCCTGCCCCAGCCTCCCGAGTAGCTAGGACTACAGGCACGAGCCACCATGCCTGGCTGATTTTTATATTATATATATTAGTTGGCCAATTAATTTCTTTCTATTTTTATGGTAGAGACGGGGTCTCGCTCAGGCTGGTTTTGAACTCCTGACCTGGAGCAATCCGCCCGCCTCGGCCTCCCAGAGTGCTAGGATTATAGGCGTGAGCCACCTCGCCCGGCCTCAATTGACTTTTAAGATACGCAGTTTCATAGTTCCACTGTAACATTTTAAACTATTATAAAATTGTTAAAATTTAAACCATCACAACAATCTTCAAAACTGTCTGTCCCTTACTGTGGCAACCTGCGTAGGGCTCTGATTCACATAATACATTACAAATGGTATGTTTACAATTCTGAGGCAGAAGGAAATCATTAGTGACAATGCAAAGGATGAGATAGTTTCAGTGTTTAAGGTAGAAATGGGAATGGAAGCATACATTTCCATTTTTTGAAAGTGATCTTCTCCAATTTATTTATTCTTGCAGAGAATACCATGGAGAAAGGATTTTATTCACTGGTATATAGCAGTTATAAGTTTTTACAATAAAAATTTAATTTCTTAAAGTTATCATTTCCATCCCCGTTTTTCAAAACCAGAAAAGTTTATCCCAACAAGTATGTTACAACATATGGCCACACTCAGGTACATCCAGGTTACTGTCTCAGTATCTCTTTACTTTGTTCATTCCCTTCCTTTTGCCTACCTCTCAAGCTTATCTGTGGCAGTGAAAGGTTTAACTAAGATCTAACTGTGCCCTGAAGATGATAATCTCTGATTTAGGAACTTCCAGACATAATGAAGATAGAAGTCTTCAAATAAATACCTTGATTACTGCCACAAACCTGTCAGCCAGAAAGTGTGATAAAACAATGAATTCTATTCAATAACAGATCTGAAAATAGTTTGAAAATAGTAAAAAGTACCCTCAACAGTGTCTACCACATAAATGACAGTGAGGAAATGTTAGTTTATTTTTCCCTTTCTTTTTCCCTAAGAAGATGAGGCAGCTTGCCCAAGGTCCCAGTGAAATCAGTGACAGGAACTAGGCCTCTACTCTTCATATGCCAAGGTTGCTCATTTGATGACGTGTGATAACATCCTTATGCCCCTAATTTTAATATTTTCACTTACAATTATCTGAAATTTTTGTTCAAATAGTGATTGATGTAAATCTGAATTCTTTTCTGAAGTCTGTGTACTTTTTTTATCTAAAAGTTCGTTAATATGATTGCAGCAGGAACAGAAAATTAGGTTTAAAAAGCTAAAGCATCAAGGCTGCACTGGCAGGAAAGTAATGGTAGATTGTTCAAAGCCTCACAAGAGGCACATGAAAATCACCAGCACAGTCATTAACACCAACTGAGATTCAAGAACATATCATACAGTGCCAGAACTACAAATGGGCTTGTTCTTATGGAGTGTCATACAACAATTATTTTTTCAGAGCACAGAGTGAGCTTCTAAATAGCTCTCAGGGGAGTTTCTCCACTGGTTTGTTCTGGGATCAGTACTTTTCACCAAGAAACTAGGCAATTATCAAGAAAAGTGGGAAAATAAGCATTATTGGCATTTTCTCACCCACAGATTTCTAAAAAGAGTCACATTTAATGTTTTAAAATTAAGAATATATTATGAAAGGTACTTATTACAGGATGTTTCATTCCTCTGTGATAACTTTAGTATACATCATTTTTTTGAGCCAGTGTTCACTCTCTTGGGGTACCTTGTCTTTGAAATTTTGCTCAAAACTGTAAGTGTATAAATTCATAGAAAAAGTCTGAAAGGATAAAGACCAAACCTAAAATCAATTATCTCTGTAAAGGGGAAGCTGATGACCAGGGGCTGGGAGTGGAAGGGACTCATTATCATGTACTGTTTGTAAACCTTTACTTGCCCCAAGAAGCATTTTTTAAATGTACTGGAAACCTGAGATTTCTAAAGAAAGCCAAAAAATATAAGCTCCAATTTTAAGTGTTCTCTACTGTTGATTTTACACAAAGCCCTAAGAAATAAACATGTATCTTTTTTGATATTTTCTAATTATGAAGTCTTGAATGCCTATTTCCCATGTGCCACCTTTTATATGTGGAATACATACACATATATTATGTGTATACATAAACACTTAACATATACACTTAAACATATACATTCACATGTATTTCCACATATAAACATAAGACAGATCCTCAAATATTAGTCAATGTATAGGAATAATGCCTTTAAAAGTCTTTAAAGATAAGAAATAGATGACTTTGAAATAGCTACGATGGGTTCACTTCCTTTTCTGACCTAGATTTCTATCGCTTATGGCACTCTTGCTGGTATGTACCACAATCAAGCACTGTATTGAGCTATTCAAAGAAGGCTTTTTCAGAGCATGGCCGTCATGGCAGTCAACTCACTTGCTCCAAGCCAAAAATGGAATAGAAGAAATCCATGTATTTTAGGACACAGTAAGGGTGTGTGCCTGGTAGCATGGTCTATTTTTAGAAGTGTATTGGGAAACTTCCTTTGTGAATACATGTAGGAAAAAAACAGTAATAGAGAGTAACTTTCATGACTTATTTCATTCTTACAATAGCTCTGTCCCATATGAACTAGGTAATGTCTTCCCGAGAGCCTGTAGTTTTAACTCTTACCATCCCCAAAGGCTTATTTCTACATTTATATACATAAAAACTAAAAGGGTTCCTGGAGGACTTCATGGCTTATTTTCAATTAATAAATTTTAAATCCATAAAATTTCAAATAAATGCACTAGCAGTAAGTAAAGAATACATTTTAAGGAACAGATAGTGATCCAAATATGCCAACCTAGAACTGGAAATAGCACTATTATCTCTCAGATAACTCCCAGTGTATGATGCTCACAGCAGGATAACATACATGAATTCTGCCACCCATTAAGTGATAGCCTATCAATATTTTTTCCTGGATATTTTTATATGTTGAATACATACACATGTATTATGTATATACATAAACACTTAACGTGTTATTGATCAACATATGTTGGTTTTATGTAAAGTCAACAATAGAGAGCACTTAAAATTGAAGCTTATATTTTTTGGCTTTCTTTAGAAATCTTAGGTTTCCAGTACATTTAAAAAATGCTTCTTGCCGGATGCAATGGCTCATGCCTATAATCCTAGCACTCTGGGAGGTGGAGGCGGGAGGATTGCTCGAGGTCAGGAGTTCGAAACTAGCCTGAGCAAGAGCGAGACCCCGTCCCTACTATAAATAGAAAGAAATTAATTGGCCAACTAATATATATAGAAACAATTAGCCAGGGATGGTGGTGCATGCCTGTAGTCCCAGCTACTCGGGAGGTTGAGGCAGAAGGATTGCTTGAGCCCAGGATTCTGAGGTTGCTGTGAGCAAGGCTGACGCCACAGCACTCACTCTAGTGTGGGCAACAAAGCGAGATTCTGTCTCAAAAAAAAAAAAATGCTTCTTGGGGAAACTAAAGGTATACAATTCATATTCATGAACTGATATGCTTAAAAAATAAGTAGAAAACCATGTTGTGGTATGTGTGTGGAGAGGAATACATTTCTACTGCCAAATTCTAGATTTTCCCATTGATACAACCATTCTTAACCCTTGATTTAAATCTTTTGAGGGAAAAGGACATATGAATGTTCTTCACCTCAGACCTATTTGTTAAGGAAAAAATAGAAGCTCCTGAATAAAACAGAGCTTACTACTCATTAGGGCTCTTCTCAGCCCTCTCCGTCATGGTCTATGAGGGAGAAAGCTACACATAACTATTCAACTAGTAAAAACAATTACGGGGCCATAGATAATTATTCTTATTTTACAATATATTTAACCAAATAGGGCTAAAATCATGTTATAGAAAAAATCACTTTTATTTTCTAGAAGGTAAATTAAATGAAATAGACCACAATAGTTATGCACCCTCCTAAAAATCCCAGTCTTAACACACTGACTGCCACACTAGAAAAAAAATTTTTTTCCTTGGGGTCTCAGTGTTTTATTACGAAAATACAATAAAAACTTTGAAAACAAAATGATCCTTTCTAATTCAATAAAAATTTATTATTTTTTATTTTTTCTGTTTGTGAGTTATATGCAACTTAAAAAAGTTCTCGCAGCTCCCAAAGGGAAGAGACAAGTGAGTTACATATGCTTCATGAGGCCCCAGGCTCAAAAGTAGTGTGAGTTAAATACAACTCATATGGCAGCTAATGTGTTAAGGATCCAGATTATATAGGTCACATGTTTAGCACAGTTGAGACCAAGATGGTGTTTGCTTAGAAAATTCTTCATAGTTCCATGTTTATACTGGAAAGTTCAAGGATTTTACTGCATTCACACTAAAACTTAGCTCCTGATGTTGCTCATAAAATTTAAGTTAACCATAAATTCCTAAAAAGTCTGAGTGGCTACATGCAACATACCGACATTGTGAGTTGTCCATAAGACTTACAGAAATTAAATTTGCCCATAAACCAGAACTATAATACAATATATTCCCTTTATAGAATATATGCAGTCAAAGTGAGAGATGGGGAGAGGATCATACTGAAAAACCAGTAAAGTATATACTCTCAATTTAAGTTGATCCCAAACTGCAACCATGTCTTACCTTTTCAGGTCAACGGTGGTGACACTAAATACAACTCCTTTGAGCCAAAGAATCATGAAGAGCCTCTGGGAAAACGGGCAGTTTCCAATGCTTTCACCATCACTGCCAGCCTGAGAAACAAAATTAAACATTAAAAAACAATGTCAAAGTGATAATACTCAAAATGACAGATCTTTTTCTGAATTTTAATCAAGGGTAAAAGAAGACAGCAAAAGTTGCATTGTGGAAGGAAAAGTGGAAATCTAAGTTTTTATTATTTTGCTCATTTGCCTCTATCTCTTCTTAAAAATGACCGGTCTAGTATAGCAATGTCCAAGAGAACTTTCTGCAATAATGGAGATGATCTATATTACCACCGTCCAATATGGTAGCTACTAGCAACATTTGGATAGGGAGTATTTAAAATGGGGCTAATTCAACTGAACAGAATTTTTAAATTTTATTTATTTTTAATTGCAGTCACATGTTGCTTAATGATGGGGATACATTCTGAGAAATGGGTCATTAGGCAATTGCAATGTTGTATGAGCATCGTAGAGCGTACTTACAGAAACCCAGATGTATAGCCTACTACTCTTAGGCTAAAACCTGTACACCATGTTACTATATTGAATACTGTAGTCAACTGTTACACAGTGGTATCTATATATCTAAACACAGATACAGTAAATATATGTTATTACAATCTTAAGGGACCACCATCAGATATGCAGCTGGTTATTGATGGAAATGTCTGTTGTAATACAGCACATGACTGTAATTTAAATAGCCACATGTGGCTAACGACTGCTATGTTGGACAAAGCATCAATTCCTAGGGGGCACATATATCCTTGCCTCAGGGAAAAGACAAAGTATGCCGTGAGGTTTATGAAATCATTTCAATAAAAATCATTTCTTGTTCTGTCACACAGTATTCTTTAATGCATTATAAATAGGGAAACTTGTAAGTGTGTCTGTTTCCAAATAGTTAAATAACCACCAACCCTCCTCCTATTAAAAATATATATATACACATTCGTTGTAAATATCCCACATCTTCTTTTACACATTTCTTCAGAAAACAAGAAAATAAAAAAAACATATCTTTTTAATATGCTTTTTCTAATCCCATTTAATAAATGGAGCAGTTGGCTTCTCCGAGTTCAATGACAAAGTGGAATGTTTCTAAAAATCAGAGTGGGGCAAATCTTTAATTCCATCATGTATGCCCAAGTTTAAAAAGGAGAGACTGGGTGAAGGAAACAGGGTGAGAAAAGGAGAGCCAGCCAGAATGCTAGAAGAAAACATTCTGAAATAACAACACAGCCTGTTCACCATGAAGTCTATGGAGAGCACCAGAAGTAACTCTACAAGTCTTTCAAAGATAATGGTAATGGCCAGATGCCTATAATCCTAGTACTCTGGGAGGCCAAGGGAGATCACTTGAGCTCAGGAGTTTGAGACCAGCCTCAGCAAGAGCAAGACCTCATCTCTACCAAAAACAGAAAAATTAGCCAGCCATGGTGGCACGGGCCTGTAGTCCCAGTTACTCAGGAGGTTGGGGCAGGAGGATCACTTGAGCCCAGGAGTTTGAAGTTGCTGTGAGCTAAGCTGACGCCATGGCACTCTAACCTGGGTGACACAGCAAGACTGTAATTAATAAATAAATAAATAGCAACTTTGAGTACCAATTTGTTCTATAGTGAGATGACTTAGTATTGTAAACTGACTTGTGCCCTAAGAAAGGAATATCATCCTAACCTACCCCAAGCCATTGTATTCAGCAGACACTTACTTTACTCTGGGATCTCCTTGGGTGCCCATAACAAAACAAGGATTACTGGGCTCCACCCCAGGAATTCTACTGAATCAGAATCTCTGGATGTGAGGCCCAGGAATCTCCATTTTAAACGTTTTCCTTAGGTTATTCTTAATCACACTAAAGTTTAAGAACTAGGCCTTCTTTAGGAAGTAAATTTTTGTACAAGTTACAGTATTAGGAATTTTTTTTTTTTTAATTTCACAGGGGCCAAGCTAATCTTCTCTGTATCGTTCCAATTTTAGTATATGTGCTGCCGAAGCGACAGTATTAGGAATTCATATGATTCATTGTGCTAGGATTACAGGCATGAGAGCCACTGTGCCCCACCTGAAAGTTGTCTTTTTGAAGATGCTGGCCACCCATTCATAGCATGGAACACTGATAACAAATGAGTTTACTACAGATAACAAAATATTAACATATTCCCTTTCCATATAGCTTAATGATGAATATTTTCACATGAGGTTGGGGCTTTAAATATCAAAATTGTATTATCATTATTGTTTTGCTTTTCTCCCCTCTTGTCCTTAACATGCTTAGTAGCAGAGACATAAATAAAGAAAAAGTATTCCAAATTTGAGACTTATTGAAGAAACAGTAGTTTGGAAGACAAAGAATTAGTCTGACTCAAGGTCTTCATCCTATTCCATTTACTTAATCTAAATTTAAATTATAATTTAAAATTATAATTGATCAAGTTGCCTATCATAGCAGTGTTAAAACTCATTAAATTGATAAAGAAGATATAATACCAATGTTACATGTAGGCACATGTAAATACATTAAGCTAAAAGTGGGCTGGAGATAAACAAGGACTGGCCACAGATCGAAGCCACCACACCATAATTTCCTACAATGGTCAGCACAGCATATCCTCAAGCACAGACAGAATCTCAGGACACAAACTGGCTCACAAAGACCTGGTCAGGATGCAAATGCCCTTTCCTTTCACAGAAGACTGACTGTCTCATTTGTCTGTAATTCTCTAGCAAACTTCCCCAATCTACATCTTTTAGGTGAACTAGAAGCTTCTTACATATCTCACAATCCTCATATAAGTACTTTCCTTCATGTGCACACAAATAAAAGCATATACATTCTTAAGGGCAGACCTGAAAAAAAAATGCCTTTTTTTGTTAGTCATTCTCCCGAAACTGATGACAAGTCAAATAAGAAACATAACCATGAACAAGTTTTCCCAACGTGTTTTTTTTTTTTTTGGAGACAGAGTCTTGCTTTGTTGCCCAGGCTAGAGTGAGTGCTGTGGTGTCAGCCTAGCTCACAGCAACCTCAAACTCCTGGGCTCAAGCAATCCTGCTGCCTCAGCCTCCAGAGTAGCTGGGACTACAGGCATGCGCCACCATACCCAGCTAATTTTTTTCTATATATATTAGTTGGCCAATTAATTTCTTTCCATTTATAGTAGAGACGGGGTCTCACTCTTGCTCAGGCTGGTGTCAAACTCCTGACCTTGAGTAATCCGCCCACCTCGGCCTCCCAGAGTGCTAGGATTATAGGCGTGAGCCACCACCCCCGGCCTTTTCCAATGTTTTATTAACAGTATTAGAAAATCACAAGCTACTGGTCAGATAATATTTTTCAAAAGTATAGTAAAATTGTGGAGAAATTTAGATTTCTGGAACTCACAAATCAAAAACTTCCTCATTTATTTATTTTCTTATTTTTAAAAAAAATTTTTTTGAGACAGAGTCTCACTGTGTTGCCCAGGCTAGAGTGCCGTGGCATCAGCCTATCTCACAGAAACCTCAAACTCCTGGGTTCAAGCGATCCTCCTGCCTCAGCCTCCCAAGTAGCTGGGACTACAGGCATGTGCCACCATGCCCGGCTAATTTTTTCTATTTTTAGTTGTTTGGCTAATTTCTTTCTATTTATAGTAGAGACAGGGTCTCGCTCTTGGCTCAGGCTGGTCTCGAACTCCTGAGCTCAAGCAATCTTCCCACCTCAGCCTCCCAGAGTGCTAGGATTACAGGTGTGAGCAACGGGGCCTGGCCAAAAAACTTCCTCCTTTAACCCAAGTTATACCGAAAAAATTCCACTTCAACAAAGTTATAGAATCAAAATTACTATTTGGTATGAACTACACTGAATACAACCTATTGCTACAACTGACTGAGGGCACTGTGATACAGTGGAAAGTGTACTATACTGGGGAGTCATGATGCCTTTATTCTACACCCAATTTTGTATAAACAACAATGAAAATTAACAGATAGGTATCTAATAATAGCATTGATATTGTTAGGATGTTTGGCCCCTCCAAATCTCAGACTGAAATTGATCCCCAGTGTTGGAGGAGGGCCTGGTGGGAGGTGTGTAGATCATGGGGGGCAGATCCCTCATGAATGGCTTGGTGCCCTCCCAAAGATAATGGGTGAGTTCTTTATTAATTCATGTAAGAGCTGGTCATTCAAAGGAGTCTCCTCCTTCTCTTTTTCCCTGCTCTCAACACATGACATACCTGCTCCCCCTTCACCTTCCACCTTGATTGGAAGTTCCCTGAAGCCCTCAACAGAAGCAGATGCTGGCACCATGCTTCTTGTACAGCCTGCAGAATCATAAGCCAAATAAACCTCTTTTCCCTATAAATTACCCAGCTTCAGGTTATCTCCTTGAGAGCAGCACAAAATATACTAACACAAGCATCTAAGAAAAGTATACCTTTAAAAAATACTTTGCTTTTTTGCTGCTTCTAACAGCAATGTATACTCATCATTTTTAAGATAAATAAAAACAAACACTACAGAAAGAGTTCCCTTGCCCTCAAACCATTCAGCAATCTGCTACTTATTCTTCCACGTTTGTTTGTTTGTTTGTTTTTTGAGACAGAGCCTTGCTCTGTTGCCCCAGCTAGAGTGCCGTGAGGACAGCCTAGCTCACAGCAACCTCAAAGTCCTGGGCTCAAGCCACCCTCCTGCGTCAGCCTCCCAAGTAGCTGAGACTACAAGCATACGCCACCATGCCTGGTTAATTTTTTCTATATGTTTTTAGTTGGTCAGCTAATTTCTTTCTATTTTTTTAGAGACGGGGTCTCGCTCTTGCTTAGGCTGGTCTCGCTCTTGCTCAGGCTGGTCTCGAACTCCTGAGCTCAAACAATCCTCCCACCTTGGCCTCCCAGAGTGCTGGGAATACAGGCGTAAGCCACCACGCCACATGTTTTTGTTGTATTGTTTTTGAGGAGGCACATCTTAAATGTCCCAGCCCAGAAGTTCCATCTGTCATTTTTTGTCACATTCTTCTGGAAAGAACTTAATCATATGGCTTCATCTAACTGCAAAAGAAGCTGGTG